TGATATTGATATTGTTGAATAAATAAATGAAATAAATCATGTTATTCTTATAGTCATGGAAAAAGTAGAAGAAATCGACGCCTCCCGTTCATATAATGCTTATTGAAACTGCAATGCAATATAAGTCTTATTCAAATTTTCGTGCCATATAAGTCTTATTGAAAGTTCAGTGCTATATAATTCTTATTCAATACAATTATTGTATTGCACGGAAACTTGAATAAGAATTATATAGCACTGAACTTTCAATAAGACTTATATGGCACGAAAATTTGAATAAGACTTATATTGCATTGCAGTTTCAATAAGTATTATATGAACGGGAGGCGTCGAAATATTTTTAAAAATATTATTACTAAAATTAATAGATAATAAATAAATAATAAATCAAATTAATAAAGAACTTATAATGCAACCTGACAGAATAAAATTAAAATAGTTTGAATAAACATTCAAGTTGCGAGCTTAAAGTGATGGCGCAAAAGATAGAAAAGAAATGAAAAAAATACATGTGCTTTATGAAATTGTCAAGACTGCATTAATTACATAATTAACAAAGATCATTAGCTACAATTATGTAATGAATATGACAACAGTTTTAAAAAATTTATACAATAATAAAAGGAAATTTAGAAATACTTTTCAAGGAGTATTAAACAGAAATAAGGAAATAGAATTAAAAATTTTGAAAATACTGATGATCGTACAAGTTTACAACATATAGCTGTAAAATTTTACTGACATTTAAATTCAATTTTCATAATTTATTCTTGCGTAGACAGTAGTTCCTTTCAAAATTTAAATAAACAATGAAATTCGATTATGACGTACGTTGAATGGGTTGGGATTCAACTTCGTACCATTTGTCAAATTTTTCAAAAACACGTCTTTTAAACAATTTTTTTCTATTGATCCCATTAAATGTCCATAATATCTCATACGGGAATGGAAACTAGAAAAGTTAAGCTTTATTTTCATATAATTTTGATGAAAATCGACGAGGGGGTGTTTTAGATATTAAGAGTTTAATATTTCAAATAGGAATTTCTATACGGAATTGAGAGAAATTTTGAAAAATAGAAATAGAAAGTTCATAAAATTCTCTTTTGAATCAGTATATAATATATTATAAATAACACAGCCCCACAAAAAAAAAGTGTCATGTACTTTTGACCGGAATACCCTAACCCTATGTATTTTGACGCGCTCAACACGAATCCGAAGTCCGTTTTGCTCCATCACGTCAGAATTTTTTTCTAACCTCAAAAAACATGTCGGATTTTGAGTAGGCGATTTTTTTAAAAATTGATGTATTAAGTTCAAATTTGGTATCTGGGGTTTTTTTGTGTCGCTGATTACGAATTTGATGTCAGATTTTCGAAATCCAAAATGGCGGATCCTATATGGCAGACGAATTTTGAAAAAATTTTAAGATTTACTTCAAACTTGGTATCTAGGGGTTTTTTGGGTCGCTGATTACGAATCTGATGTCAGATTTCCGAAATTCGATATGTCTGATTAAATATTAAGAAATAATTTTTAAAAAATTGTCAGATTTTTATGAAATTTGGTATCTACAGGTTTTCTAAGTTGCTGACAAATAACACTAGGGAAGTGCCGTACGCCGTTTTTTCGGAAACTTGGCAGTTTTGTAGTTTTTTGAAAACAACTTGACACGTATTTTTTTGTTTTTCCCAAAAGTTGATTTAAGGCGGGAAACTACCCCTTGATTTTTTTTGGGGGAGGGGGACATTATTTTACGAAATTTTTTAAAAATTAATGTTCAATAGTGTATCTAGGGGTTTTTTGGGTCGCAGATTACGAATCTGATGTCAGATTTCAAAAATTCAAAATGGCATATCCAACATGGACTTCTATCGGCCATATTGGATACGCCATTTTCAATTTTTGAAAACTGACATCAGATTCGTAATCTGCGACCCAAAAAACCCCTAGATACACTATTGAACATTAATTTTTAAAAAATTTCGTAAAATAATGTCCCCCTCCCCCAAAAAAAATCAAGGGGTAGTTTCCCGCCTTAAATCAACTTTTGGGAAAAACAAAAAAATACGTGTCAAGTTGTTTTCAAAAAACTACAAAACTGCCAAGTTTCCGAAAAAACGGCGTACGGCACTTCCCTAGTGTTATTTGTCAGCAACTTAGAAAACCTGTAGATACCAAATTTCATAAAAATCTGACAATTTTTTAAAAATTATTTCTTAATATTTAATCAGACATATCGAATTTCGGAAATCTGACATCAGATTCGTAATCAGCGACCCAAAAAACCCCTAGATACCAAGTTTGAAGTAAATCTTAAAATTTTTTCAAAATTCGTCTGCCATATAGGATCCGCCATTTTGGATTTCGAAAATCTGACATCAAATTCGTACACTGAGAGAAATGGATAGTAAGAATTTGATAGTAAAAAGAAAGATTGTACAAGGTACTATCATTGTGTTACTGACAAGAATCTACTATCAACATTTTACTATCCAAGATGTTACCCAAAGACATAAAATATGTTAGCTTTTGGATTGTAGTCACTACTATCAAATATTGTAAAAATTAAATGTGAGCGCATGCGCTGATTGTGGTGTATACTTCGCCTATTCAATTGCGGTCCTTGTGTTTTCACGCACGTGTTTATATATAGTGAAAAAAGTTGTAAATAAAAAAATGGACGAGTTTGTTAAAAATTTATTAATGTCGTTGAATATGGAATCTTTGATTCCATCTTTTGGAGGTAGGTTTATTATTTTGATTGAATTAGCGAAGACTGAAGTGTGAACGTGTTTATAACCTCAAAACAATTTTGCGTTGTTTAGACGGTGAAATTGATGAAGAATCGTTTTACTTACTGGACAATGATACAATATCACTCATTATACCAAAACCAGAACCTCGCTTAAAATTTTTTAAAAAATTTCAAGATTACAAAAATCAAGTAAGTTTTTTTTTCGTTTGTATAAATGTACATGTGTTTATTGAAATCTTTTTTTGGAAAAAACTTTTTCATATTTTTTCTTACTTTTTTTAAACTTAAAAATTAGTAAAATAATACAAATTCAATTGACTCTGTGAAAAAAATATACCGTTTGATAAATATATTTATGTTTAAGCAAGTCCTTTTTATAGACGGAGTGAAAAAATAGACATACTCTTTTTTATGTAAAAAGTTTAAAGTTTAAATTCTTATCGAAATGTATTATTAAAATAAAATGAAATTATTTAAGTTTACAAAAAAAGCGAGGTTAGGTTCGTGTATATTTGCCACTCGAGAACGTAAAGAGATCGTATAAAATTTTTAACATCAAAGATTGTAAATTGTACAATCAAATTTCTATAATCATCTGATAGTAAATACTACAATCTATATCGCTGTCTGTATATTTAGCACTAAATATGGTTGCCCTTAACATCATTATGTTACCCAGTAGCATAAATTTCTCTCCGTGTAATCAGCGACACAAAAAAACCCCAGATACCAAATTTGAACTTAATACATCAATTTTTAAAAAAATCGCCTACTCAAAATCCGACATGTTTTTTGAGGTTAGAAAAAAATTCTGACGTGATGGAGCAAAACGGACTTCGGATACGTGTTCAGCGCGTCAAAATACATAGGGTTAGGGTATTCCGGTCAAAAGTACATGACACTTTTTTTTTGTGGGTCTGTGTAATTAAATTGTTATATAATAAAATTCATTAGAAAATCGCTCTTCTTGCGTTTGTCATTTGTCAGTGAAACGGTTTGAAATAGAATGCCCCTTATATTTCTGAAATTAATTTTTTTTCATTGCGCAAACAGTACGGGAAATTCCATCCAAATTTTCATTTGTCTAAAAATTTATGTATCTAAATTTCCAGTTGTTCCAAAATTTCAGTTGTTAACAATTTCCGTTGCTTGAATTTTTAATTCACTGAAATTTTATTTACTGGAATTTTGTTTGTATTTTTAAATTGATTGAAATTTCTTCGTTATAAATTTTTCAATTCTCCAAAACATTATTTCTTAGTATATGAAATAAGTTTTTATTAAAATTCGTATTAAAATGCTCATTTAGAAAAAAACAGAAATCTCTGACATGGATTGTCCGTAACCAAAAAATCAAAAAGTTTTAGATTCAGTATGTTAATAGCTATTGCGCATATTACGAGATTTTTTATTTTTGCAAAATTGACAAAATGGTGAACATTTTTCGAAAAATTAAAGAAAACAAAAACAATCCCTTAATATGCGTAATAGTTATTAACACACTGAATCTAAAACTTTTTGATTTTTTGGTTTCGGACAATCCATGTCAGAGATGTCATCAACAGCGCGAAAAAAAAATTTTTTGTGGGATTTTTTTTCAACTACCATTTTCATGTATATAAAATTTACAAAAACAAATAACAAAAATTTTTTCATGTATTTCGGGAGTGTATTTCTTTAGTCTAATAACTTGTATGTCAATATTTATAATATAAACCAATCAGAAAAATTCTTGAATACAACCTTCATTTTAGCGCGTCTAAAGTGCGTAGACCCATTAATGCTACACGGGAACTCACTGCAGTTCATTTCTAATACATATATTTATAAGGACGATCATACTAAAGTCACTTGTTCTTTAATAGCCACTAACAAACAAACGGATACAAACCTTCTTATATGAATATTACAACGGCAACACACTGGTATTAATGCCTGTCCATTTATTTGTTGATTAGTATTATCTTCATTAGCTGCAAACATCATGCAACAAAACAAATTGTTATTAAAAGTTAGATATCTGTTTTTATCAAGAAAAGAGAATATGATAAACATTCAGGACAAGATTCAAAAGCAAACTTCAGACTTTCTGTTTAAAGATGTCTAATGAGTATCCAATCTAATTAGGAGCAAAAGGTTGCAAATGAAAATCGATTTAGCATTATTGTTGGGGGTAATCACAAAGTAATGCAAATTCATGAGATCACAGCAAGTCCATAACTCAACACTGGTCCAGTACCTGACGTAGTTATTGCAGCGTGCGCATTGTGGGACACGAGATCCACTTCCTCCAGCTTGATTCAGGATTCCCCTTCCACGTTTGGGAGCACTGCTTCCAGCAAAAGATCCGCTCTTATTACTGCAAAGTCCACCGACTCCAGCACCTAGATCCGGTTGGGATGACATGTTTGGTGGGTCTACTAAATTTTTGGGTTTACCAATTGGGCAAGTAGTCGTGGATTGGTATGTTGATTGGGCTTTGGATTTACATGAGGATTGACTTTGGATTGACTGGGACTGGTAAGTGGATTTGGTAGTACAGGTTTGGGTCTGAGGTTGTGGTTTATACAACTGAACAGTGGGAGGTTTAATTCTGCTTAGAGTTAGTTGCGTGAGCTGATTACTGAGATTAGTACGAGGCTTATGAATAGGTTCAAAGCTACTGGAAGAATCAGGCTGGGCAGTTTGCGAAAGAGGACAGCTACTGCAGAAACTCGGAACCTCTTCATTTGGTAAAGGGATTTGCGGGAAGGGCATATTCTTGCCACATTGTCCTTTTAGAATTGATTTTGGACACTGGGAAGCTGACATTCCAGAGACGCTGCACGGAGCAACACAAAAGGAGCCATCTCCGAAGGGAGTGACACAAACTCCCGATCCACTGCATGTTCCAGCATCGATGCTACAGCCACCAGAACGAACTCCACAGACTCCAGAAGGTTGTTTACAACTTGCGCCAGAACGATCTGGAGCCGGAGAGATGCAGACACCTTGCCTGTCAAGGGTAGGTGTGACACAAACTCCCGATCTATCACAAGGTGGTGGTGAACTGCCGCAGGGAACTACAACCACTCCGGTCTTTGAACCACTTTCAGAGACTGTTCTGCATGGTAGAACCGTGACACCAGTATTTGGACACGATTTAGAAGGTGTTTCTACTATTTCGTGATGAATTCGACGAACTTCGGTTGTTGATGAAGACGTATTACAAGGAGGTAGTACTCTCACTCCTTGTCTTTGGATTCTTTCTGATACACTTTCACGGCTTGAAGGACAGGGCAGAGAAGGGGAAACACTACTGCTGCGGCTGACGTAACATCCTGGTGGAACAGGACTCTCAGTTATTCTTTGTACTTTTCTCTCGCGTACATGAGTATGTGTACTATCTTCATCCTCTGAATAGCTGATACATTTGGTACATTGAACGTCTTTATGAATATGTCCTGAAGGGGTGTCTTCTACATAGTGGTAGCAAACACACTCTTCTTTCGTTTTTGGTGCGGAACTTTGAAATGAACGGTTACAGGAAGATGTGGTATCTTTTAGTCTGGGTGCTTGAGCTTTTGTAAAACAGCAAACTTGTTCAGGAGGACCTTGAGCAGGAGATTTAGATCTTGAACATGGAGTTGGAGTTCTGCTGGGATCATATGCGTAACCTTCCACCGGTCCATTTTTCATAGCAACCAAATGTTTTTGATACAAAGGAATGGTATCCGGTTTCTTAAGACCTGTCATTATTGAGTGGTTTCCTGGAGTTCCTGCTCTAGATCTAGAAGGAGATCTAGAAGAGTCTCTTAAGCGATAGTCTGGTGGAGGTGTTGGAAGAGGCTGCGGGCCTTGTTGTTTTTTTCGTTCTTGAACTACTTCCCTATTTTCACTAAATAGAAGTTGAGCAGGTGCACAATAACCATCATCAGCTGAAGGAGCTGTTGGAGTTTGTGATCGGCGACAGCAAGTTTTGCAAGGATTGATATTTCCACCCAATGGTGAGTATGGCCTATCTGACGCAGTTGTTAAGGCGGATTGAAAAGGAGAAACAGGTCTATGTGCACAAGGAAGTGGTGGCAATGAGGGCTCGCAGGTACATTGGCATGTTTCTTCATATGTAACTTGAGAAGTGTAAATTTCCTTGCAACCATTATTATCTTTACCAAGAGAAGAGTGAGATTGATCTGGAGCTGTTGTTAAAGCTCTCACCATTTCAGATTTCCATTCCTTAGGAACAGTATTTTGAACATTGGAAGACGAAATTGGACGCGAATTACATTCAGTTTGACTGATGAATTGTACTTGTTTCCTGCATGTTTCTGTTGTATTTTGTGATTCCTGATTCTGCTGACCATATTTGTTACAAAGACGTCGTTCTTGGAGAGTTTGATGCCTTTCAGGAGCTTGTTGATCTCTCAAACTCTTATGGACCTGCACTTGTTCACGCAAACTTCTTCTTCTTTGTTCTTCCATTTCTTGATGTTCAAAATTTTTCTGAATGTTGATTTCCTCTTTTATCTCTTTAAAACGCTCTTCACGACATTGGCAACAGGGTTCTTCCTGTTCAAGTTTAACGTCGATAATATGTTCCTTAGGTTGTCCTTCTACATCAATGTCAATTATATGTTCTTTTGGACCTTCCAATTTAATATCAATTATTCGCTCTTGAGGACAGCAAGTATGTTCGCATATAAACTCTCGCTCTTCACTAAAGCAGACTCGTTTCTGACGTGTCTCTCCCTCTTCTTGACGTCTACGTTCCTGCTCTTCTTTCTGCTGTTGTAGACGTCTCTCTTCTTCTTGCCTCCGTTTTCGTTCCTCAGCTGCCATCCGTTTTCTTTCCTCTTCTTCATGTTGTCTTCTTTCCCGCTCTTCTTGCTCTCTTATCTCTTTCTCTTCTCTTCTTCTTTGTCCTTCCTTCTCATCTCTTTTAGCTTGCTCCATCATTTGTTGAGTATCAATTTTAGATGATAACATTTCTGTTGATTCCACTACGCTCCGGTGACAGGAAATATTTTCCACTTCTCGATCGACAGTCGATGATCTTTGACAAGTTTGTTCCCATCGTCTTTCTTTTGCCTGAGGTTTTAGTTCTGGTTCCGCACTAGATCTTATTTCTCTGTCTGGGGAGACTAATTCCACTGTCTTTTCATAAGTAGTGGTTTTCTTTATATGTAAGTTACCTACATCTTCCTCCTCCATTTCCGTGTAAAGATCATGTTCACCATCTATTCCCTTCGGACATATGGCTACGTCGGGCGGTACAAGCTTCGACAAATCCCTAACTTCAGTATCTGAATCAATTTCCTTGGTTCTTGTTTCCATGCTTCTCGAATGGGAATGCGGTAAACGAACACATGCATGCACTTCTACATCTGGTTTTGGCGTCTCAACTCTTTCTTCTGGTTGGCAAATTTGCTCTTGATAATCACGTCTTTCCTCGTAGGTAGTTTGGGTTTCGCTTTCTCCTTCACAAACACATTCTCGTCGACATATTTGACGTCTGCAAACAGTTCGACTACAAGTTGGTTTTGGAGGCTCAGGTGGATTAACTGGATATGCTTGTTGGTATAAATTTGTCCCGGTAGTGACAGTGGCTAACCATGGTCGAGGAATCGGTTGAGTAATTCGTGTCGGAGTCAAAGATCTTCTGACACTATCAGTTGAACTTGACCTCGAATCGCATCGGGTTTGTCGAGAATCTTTTCTTGCTTCTCTAAATAATTCCACTCGTCGATAAACTGGTCCAGGGCAACTAACCTGGTCCATTGTTGATTCAAATTGGCAGGAATCTCTGGATTCCTCGTAAGCTTCTATTAAGCTATTTCTTCTACTGTTATCCCTACTACTGTCTTCAATACTAACACGTCTTTCGTTATCGTTTTGTTTGGCACGTCGATCAAGTGCTGGATTAGGGTCAATATATAAAGGACTCGCAGTTGGATAAGTTATCTCTTCAATTGGTCTCTGCGGCGGCCAGACGTGTGACTTTGGTTTTGGAGTTGGCGGTTTTTCGATAACAAATCGTGTAACTTCTTCAGTGTATTCGTAAGAGTCCTCTTCGTTATCTTCTATATAGTCTCCAAGGAAAGGGATGGTGAACAAGGATGAGAAATTAACACACATATGTCATACGTTTTGTGAGTGAGAAAAGAGGTGTTAAAAGAGTTACAAAAAACAAAGAGAAAGAAAGAAAAGTCGTGTCAGTAAAAGCATGTTAAAATATATTCACTCATGGACACTTTTTATGAATCTCAAATAGTTTAAGTGACCATAAGTGATTTGCGGAAAACTGTAAATAAAAAAAGCATTAAAGAAAAATTTGCAAAAAATCTTATAACTTAAACTTAAAACTTAGTGGTTTATGATAGGTTGTAATGTAAAAAGAATTTCACTCCTTCAAATCATTCGCATTTTTGACGCATAAAACTGCAAACTGCATTATTAGAAATAGTGTTGAAGCTCGATCATTTTGCAATGATAATTTTGGATTGGCAGCTGTAATGAGACACGAAGGAAAGGAATATTATACAAAAATTTGAATCAAAAAAATATGTCACCTTTTTTATTTTAAGTTTGAAATTTTTATTTTGGTCGTTTTAAAAAATGGGGATAAATTATTTTCAAAAATTACAAATCTGTTTCATATTGTTCGAAGATAATAGTTGAGAGCTACCTCGTTCACGCGAAGGAGAGGGAGAAAGGTCTTGGTTTCGGGTTGTAAGATGAAGGAGCTGAAAAAAGAGACAAGAAATCACGAATTATGACTAATAATTTAATTTGATTTTACTAATTTTAAGTTGAAGAAAATGTAAAATTTTTCTTAGATCATATTTAATCTAAAAGTATACCATTACTTGAAAGCTAATACTAGTATTGACCTCAAAAATAGAGATATTATGAAAATAGAAGATTCGCTCAGAAATTTGGGTGAAATTATAACAAAGGTTCCACGTATAGGTGAAATCATGCCATCGTCCAGAACTTCGTACTTCCTTGATCCTATTTACTCAATGCACTCCCTTCCACAACGTCATGGAAAGGGATGCATTGGGTCTATGGGATGGAGGGGATACGGCATTCGCAACGACAGTGCCATTTTGCTTGCATATGTAATTACTAGAAGAGTCGAGACCATCGCGGCTGGCAGCTCTCAACGTACCAATCGTGACTTGTCAACGACATTATTGGGATTAGAAAGGATAAAATGAAGGAAAAATCGACTATTTGTCAGATAAGATAAAAAGCTATGAATACTCAATCGCACTAGCGATGACAAAAATGAAACTGACATTTGTGGGACAAGTGAAAAAAAGAAGCCAAAGCAATTTGGCACGGTCAGTCAGCTCCAATCTATCGTCATACCTTTGAAGGAGGAACTTTTTGGCTTTGGCAAAGTAGAGCACAACCGACCTATTCAAGAGAATCGGATTCAAGGTTAGGTTACTCATCGATTGGAAAAAATAAATACAGCATTTCAGAATCTCCAGTTTGTATTGAGTAGAAAGATAATAAAATGTCTAAAAAGAAAATGATTTCAAATTGAAATGAATGAAAAATTATCTGGAGTTTCTTAAAAGTTTTATAATGCTTATAGAGCTTAAACCACTGTTTTGAAGTAAAGAAGGGGAATTGTATTGTTAATATAATAATTAACTCACCAGTCACGTTATGACTCTGTTGCCGCGGAAGAGTGCAACCTCCAGAATTGAAGGTAGGTGTGTTGAGGGTGGTTCCGCTGTAAAGTTTCGAGCCGCCGGTGTTGTTAGATGATGGAGCCTGGTGAACAGATCACTTAATTAATAAAGTCTCATAATATCACGATTTTCTTTCAACTTCGTACACTAAATACGAAAAATGCTTAAATTTTAAATTTTGAAAAGATTTTATTTTACTTCTATTCTATTTTATCGTTCCATTTCACGATCATTTTATCACATTTTAAGTATCCAATTAAATGAATTTAACTTTATGATACATTGCACCAGTTTCACAATATGTAAAAACTAAAAGCACACAACAGTCATGAATTTTTTGAACTGGGATAAGAGAAACCTAGACTGCGATCACACAAGTAATCATCTTTAGATGATTGCGTACCGAGGTTGAACTGCGTCAGTGAAGACGATTGGTATTGATTGAACAAAGACGTTACCTGGACTGGACGCAACCTAGGTGAATCAACGAATAAGATGCCAATATGGGTGGGCTGTAATACAGATGATACACAATGGTCAAGTGCCACGCATAACTTATATTGCGACAGAGGTAAGCAAGCAAAAAGTAATTAGTCATGCATTAAAAAAATAGACGTATTTTCCTTGGGACTTCTAACAATGACGATGAAGGTTCACCAGTGAATCGTCTGGTTCTCAATAATAAGAATGAGGAAATTCAGACCTGAAGATTCAAAAATTTGCATGTTAGAAATACTATAGGGGAGGTTAGAAAAAGCATCAAATTCGAAATTCCGATAATAATTTCTGTCGATACAAAGTTTGCCTTCATCAAAAATGGAATCCAAACTGACTCTTAGTGGAACACTTTCTGAGAATTTTTCCAAGTAGGATTTAAAGAAGGTTTAGTACTCTACTCTATGGACAATTTTTTAAGTATTTGGAAGAAGAACAAAATATCGGGAGGAAATATGGGAAAAGAGTAAGGTAGTAAAACAATATTTGAATTAAAAAACGGAAAGAAATAAAAAAAGTTTGAGGAGATTGATAAATTTTTCTTATGAGTTACTGAATTGTAGAAAATAGAAATTTATATGGAAAATATAATATAATATATCGTTTTTTTTAAATTTACAGCAATTATGCAATTTCCAATCGGTATATGTTAGGTAGGGGTTAATTGAATGAATAAAAAACAAGAGAAATAATGAATTTTTGAATCATCTCATTAAAAAGAAATTTAAGATTTGCACTTAGTTAAGTTAAATCTACTTTGTTAATCACCTTGTCTGAGTGGGAATAACAGGACCTCTGAATGTTGTATGAATCATTTTTGAAGTATTTGTCCTCGGAAATGACTGGGTCAAACCGAATCTCATTGATTTCATCAAATTTGTGGCGTGTTTTAGAGTTAGTAGGATTACGATTATAGTCGAGTTCGCCGTCGACATTGCTGACCTCATTAAGACCAGTCTGGATGGTAATGGTGCTCGTGTAGGTTTTCGAGGTTTCATTGCTGTCATTAAGCCCAAAGCAGCCATTGGTAGTGTGTCCATTAATTTTTGGTTCGACTTGATGTGACAGCGTTGAATCATCGTTGAGACGATGGCATGTCTGCAAAAGCGATTAGTAGCGCACAAAACACACACTGTTAATATCGGTAAACAAACTTGTTTATTAGAATGTTCCTTCTTTATTTTCTGGATTCTTATCTGAATTCCTATCGACACACGTAATGCAAAAATTTCTGATTGCACTCGCACAAAGTAAAGCGAGATATTTAATATGATAACTAGCGACAAAAATTATAAAAGAAACTATACTTTTACGCATGTACGGATTTCAAAAAAAATTATTTTTAAAACTAACCGAGAAGGGTAGTGGAGATGAACCATGATTATTGAGAGGCGGCGAAAGGGGTCCAACGTTCGACAGGGCTGCTGATATAGTTCCTGCTGGTGCTTTACTGACACTAAATTACAAAAAATTCTTCAAGTGTGATAATTACATAAGGGGTTGTTCACAAACTACGTCATGCTATTTTGTACCCATTTTAAACCCGTCTCCCTAACGTCTCGTTTTAATATATGAGGCATTTTACGTGTAATGTCCTGAGTTATAAAATTAATTTCTCGAAAAAAATGAAACTTGGGAAAATTGTTGTCCTACCTGATAGTAAAATATCCCCAAAAAAATTTTGACTTTTTTGAAATTTTGGGGGATATAGAGGGGGGTCAATTTTATCAGTTTTCCCTGACACCGCCTAATATTTGCATTTTTTCTGTCTATAAATGCAATAAAAAAAATTTTGGCAGGTATGTTTGTTAAACGTTTTTTCATGCTCTTTGCAATAATGAATTTTATTTTTTAAAATTTTTGAATTTTGACCTTGATTTTCTATAATTAAACCTAAATTTGCTTTTTCACTAAAATCGGTCCGATTTTTTTTTAAATAAAGAATTACAAACGAAAGCTGAGGTTTTTTCCGATATGTATATAAATTTTCAGAATGCTGATTTTTTTTCCATAGATATTAAATATCAAAGATTTTATGTCGGCGCGCCCAGCGAGGCGGTCGACTTATACCGCGCCGCGGTAGCTGTTTACATTGGCGCGCGCCAACATAATATCTTTGATATTTAATATTTCGAAAACTAAAAAACTCGGCAGTCTGAAAATTTATAAACTGATCGGAAAAAAACTCAGCTTTCGTTTGCAATTATTTATTTAAAAAAAATCGGACCGATTTTAATGAAAGTAGCAAATTTATTTTTGATTATAGAAAATCAAGGTCAAAATTCAAAAATTTTAAAAAACGAATTTCACCATTGCAAAGAGCATGAAAAAACATACCTGCCAAAATTTTTTTTATTGCATTTATAGACAGAAAAAATTCAAATAGTTGGCGGTGTCAGGGAAAACTGATAAAATTGATCCCCCTCTATCTCCTCCAAAATTTCAAAAAAGTCAAAAAATTTTCTAAGGAAATTTTACGATCAGGTAGGACAACAATTTCCCCAAGTTTCACTTTTTTCGAAAAATCAATTTTTAAACTCAGGACATTGAACGTAAAATGCCTGATATATATATATACAAATAAAATTTTTTTCAACATTTCACTAGAGGCACCTTTATTTCCCCCTAGAGGAGTGTGACGTAATTTGTGAATGTTCCCTAAAGGAAGTTAAAAATTTGTTATACTTACGGAGGTACAGTAATTGGTGTTAGTCCAGTCGGCACTTGTTGTCTGGCTACCATTTTCGCATGTATATCGCAATAGAGTTTTTCATTAATATTGTAGTATCCAACATTTTTTAGCGATGTGCCGCAAGTTGAACATTTAAAGCAATCAACATGTAAATTCTTGTCCTTAATTCGAACGAAGACACCTCTGTAAAATGAGCAAATATTAAAACTTTCCAATTTCCAGAAAGAAAACAAATAGCAACTGATCCTTTAGTAATTTTTTTAAATTTTGGAATCCATCAGCGGAAAAGAAATAATAAAGTTAAAAAAGTTATGGAAATAATTTCTTAGCTACGAACAACGTCTTATCCATCAAGAAGAGAGATTCACACAGTAAAAGATCTAAGAAACAACAGTGAGAAAGAATCAAGCAATAATGATTAAAAGTGGTACAAATTACAATAGTGTATCGAAATGTATGTTTGTAGAAAGCAAAACAAAATAAGTTTACAAAAAGGACTTTGCATAAAAGTGGATTTTCAAAATGCAATATACATTCCACTGAAAGCGTCAAAATTAATTAAGACGCGTCAGTGATGAAAGAAAAACATATCAATCAAAAACACATTAATAGCCGAAAAATTGAGCAAAGAAAAATAACTCAAGGATATATTTACAGACGAGGTTCTTATGTAATGTTTTCGTTGCTATATTTGACAAATGCATATATAGAAAATTTGTGATTTTACTTCCTCTTGGCCGTAGATCAATATCCGTCTTATGCCAAAAGTGTAATATCCTTGAGTCATTTTGACCATGAGATCAGCAGTGTGATTTGTGCTAACGATTACACTGATGATAAATTTTAATCATGATCAATAATAGTGTTTCGATAGGTAGCTACACTAAACTGTAAATTAGGATAAAAATCATGTTCTTTCTTTCTGTTCGTGCAATATAGAAAAGAATCAAACTCATTGTCAGAGCATCAGAATATTTTTTCCTTACTCCGATGACCCACGTTTATTTTTGTATTAATCATATTATTTTTCTTTAAATTTATTTTTTTTCTTTTGTCAGTTTAAATTTAGGTCTGGAGTTTTTATTGGAAATTTCTCCGACGCTCTGTATAACTAGAGAACATGTAAACAAACAGAGAAGACATCGAAATTTGGTTTCTTTTGGTAATATAGTTACACGATCGCATTGTCACAGTTGTGACAAATGGGTGAATCAGAGGAAGTAAGCGAAGAGGATGAATATTTTTGTCGACGCTCAATCTTCTCAACTTCTTGAAGTGAAGAGCTTTCGCAGGAATTTGAAATTGTCTGGCACAAGCCCCGTGATCGACAGAGGGGTGTTAGTGATTTCGGCGAAGTTGCCCTTCCGCCAACTGCGTGGCTTGCCGAAGAGTAAAACTCCGTCCACGAATGAACTAAGGCAACGAAACAAAAACAGGTCTTGAATTTATTATGACTAATTTTTATATCTCAAGGGAAATTTTTATCCAAGAAAAATCATTTAATCCCGCCTAGTTGCAAATTTTTAATATACACTTGTTGATTCTAACTGTTTTAGATCATTATCAGGAAGCAAGTGTTATTTTGCTTACACAAGTTAGAATAATAATTTAGAAAGTTGAGTCTCAGTCGATGATATTGACGTTGTTCAAAGCCAGGATCCTCACTTGTTTGTCTCAGTCAGTAATCGACTTACACAATAAGCCTTTCACAGTCGGCGCAGATGTTTTGTCCTGGTGGTAAACTTGACTGAGGTGTGGTTGGTTGTGGTTTTGTTTCTGGTGCCGCAACTGGTCTCAGACCTGCTATCGCTGGACATGGGGGTGATACTAGTCCACTTGGTACTGGTAGGTCAACTATTTTTTTCAAAAGAGGACATATCGATATGCTTGCGATTACTTACAAGAAATTTTTAACGTCAAGTGAGTTAAAGATGTAAAGGAATTTTTAATTATGGTAGACTGGTATGTAAACATGAAAAATGGTCAAAATAATAATCAATAAAATATCAAGTCAATGCTAAAAATATTGCCACTAACCAGGTTCAGGTGTTTTTGGTTCCTTGTCAGCTTCTTGAACCATTTTAAAAACTTCGCTATTCTCTGCATTGTAATTTTTTTCATTTTTCTTAAAGTTGACCCTAGAATGTAATATTAAAACTAATATTAAAAATAATTGAATTAGTATCAGATTTATTATTATTATTATTTTTATTATTATTGGAAATGATAATTAAAATTATTTTAAATTCCTACCTTAAGGGGTTACATGGGTCAAAAAAAAATATTTTTTTATTTGATAGTATAACATGTCAAGAATATTTTCCCAAAGTTTTATGATAATTTGAGTTAAATTTTAGAAAAGAAAGAGAATTTTCAAAAACGCTTTTTGTTTCAACCGGCACCTAGTAAAATTGATTTTTCATTACTTAGAAAGCTGTTTTCTCAAAGCTATTTTTGAAATCGGTAGTCACGATTTATCAAAAACTAATGAATCGATTTTTCTGTTTGTCACACTTCTTCTACATAGCATTCACTAGTGATTGAACGAAGGATTTTTTTCTGTTGATTACAACCGATTTTACATGATCTCAATGTCCCAAAAATCGTAATTTGTGACAAAAAACTCTACCAAAAATTCAAATTTTAATTTTTTTAAAGAAACTCTTCGTTCTATTACGAGCTTACTCATCTACTACTAGAAAATATTTGGTTTTTTTATTTTTGATGAAGTAGTCATTAGATATCGTGACTACCTCAAATTTACTTATTTTGGAAGGGGTTTCAAAGAATCTGTTGCCATTGGCTTAATTTCTAATATTTATTAACAAAAATTTTATAACTTACTTATTTTATAGTGTAATGATATTTGGTTAAGTAATAATTAAGTAATTATTTATTATTTTTAACTAATAAACAATTAAAAAACAAGTAAAAATCACAATTTTTTTTTAATTCAGAGACCCCAAAAACCCTTATATACTAATTTCATAATTTGTCGACAAGAATTTGTTGTTGGGACTACAGTATCAATTTTTTCTCTAACCGTGAAGGGGTTATGGTAATTAAGTTCTGAAATAAAATAATTTACTTATCATATGAAAAAAAATTATAAGAATTACATTTTTTGGCCTTTCTGACCCACGTAACCCCTTAAATCGAAAAGAGTCCCTTTGATAAAAATCGTTCACTGAAATTAATTTACACAAAATTTACCCAAGAACACCTCCAGCTAAAACTTCAGCTTGTGCAGAAAGTGTTTCAGCAATAGTTTCTTCGCTGTAAATGCCCACCGGACTGTTGTACTGTTTATTGACGATGGACTTTATCGAACCTTCCCCAGTACCGTTCAACTGGAACCCAAATGTAGAATGTTCTTAAGATTCTTAAACGTTGTTAAAAAGATTTCATTCAGCATATCAGTACTTACAAATGGCTTCGGACTGAAATTGTGACCGCTTCCGATTAGCGGTCCATCCTGCTTCTTTGATACTAAAGAAGTCTTTGTTACTGGAGAAACATTAGTTGCTGGTATCGATGGTGTTGGAGAAGGGAGGGTCGAGCCAATAGGAGTTACACATGGTTTCCACGTGCTGCCACCTCTTAAAACAAAAAATATCCATTAAGTAAATCAAAGTTACTTTTTTCCTTTGAATACAAAATCGAGGTATTTAACTTTATCAGGAGAATAAACAATTTTTTATAACAGCAAGGAAATAAATTGACTTTATTATTAGTACAATAAACTCACCTCTGAATGGTCATTTCGAAATTATTTCCGGCCCTGACAATGACATCTTGTGCGTCTTTGTGCCTTAAGTTAAACATATCGGTGTTGTTCACCCTAATGACAGCATCTCCAGCTTTCAAACCTGCAGCCTCAGCAGGTGATCCTCCATTTACCTGAAAATATTTTTATTTTTTAATAGGTCACATTATATTCAATTGGAATTCCTTTAAATTTTCTTCTGACACCACTGGTAAAGAATTTAAAAAAATTCTTCCTTAAGCGGGCAAGCCGGGTCTATTGGACTCCATAGAATTTATATTCTTTTGAGAATTACAAGATACGTAGATCAAATCAAATAGATCAAATAGATTCAAATCAGTTCAATACGGTTCGCTATATTTTTCGAGAAATTTACTTGTGAAATTAGGTAGACATACCAAATTTCAACTTTCTGTCTTCAATGATTTAAAAGATAAGTATAAAAATTACCATCAGTTTGGCATTAGCATACTGTGGCCATTTAAATATTCATGAAGTCTCGTGTTTTTTTTATTTTTACATATAAGAGTTATAAACTTTTAAATATCTTGAAAATCAAAAAAATGACAATTTTATTTTTCAAATTTTTTTTATACTTGTTAAGAAGAAAGAGAAAAATTGCATAGAAAATCTTAAAGTTTGTATCAAGTGTTTTATATTATTGGTAAGTTTTCGTTTATTTTAAGGATTCAGTACACTTTCTCATAATTAATGAATAGAAATCTTAAAATTAGGTTACACATGACAAGTTAAGTTTGAAATAATATTTTATCAATTTTTTGAGATATCAGAGTCATTTCCAATGTATTTTTGTGTCCTGAACACAATCCCGGGTTCCAAAATTGCGTATAACGTCAGGTTGGTGGCGCCAATGTCTATGACGTTTAGCATTGGCTCATTTTGATTTGCAACAAAAATGAGACTAGATTTTTTTGTGTAGGCTTAAATTAAAGCTCATATTTTAAACTTTAAAACTCATAAAAAATAAAAAAAATTAGGTTCAAGTCACCTAAAAAGATTATTGGGGTCATTGCCCTAATTTTTTTCAAGATTTAAAATTTTTTTTTTATTATGCGCATATGGGTCTTAAAATGTACGATTTAAACTTTAATTTAAGCCTATATAGAAGTCTCTAGCACATTAGGTTAAGGAGAAAAAAAATACTGTAAACCCTCAAAGATACATTTTTTGAGGTCTTTAACTTAATTAAAAAAAAATTTTTTTTGACTTGCCCATACGGGTCTTATAGTATACGATTTAAGATTTAATTTAGGCCTATATAGAAGTGTCTAGCACGTCTGGTTAAGGAATAAAGAAGTTATAAAAACCCTCAAAAACACTTTTTTAGACTTTACTGTCACTTTACTTAAAATCCTGACGTGATACGCAATTTTGGAACCCGGGATCGTGTTCAGGATACAAAACTACATTGGAAACGACTCCGACACCAAAAAAGTCTTATTTTGTAGACCTGTGTTATTTAATAGCTTTAAACATTCGTACAAAATAATGATAATTTTAGTTATTAACAAATTCCAATAATATTGTGTATCTTTTTTAACAAATTGTGTGTTTGAATAAAAAATAAGTTTTAAAAAAATCGTTCCTGCTAAGTATTACAATTTTTAAAAATTACATTATTAATTAATTAAAAATTACATTAAAAATTTTAATTTTTTTTAATTCGGAAAATTCTCTCTTTTTTAATTACATTTATAGAATAGAAATATATGAGTTTCTATTCCATTTAATAATATATGTATTCGAAAAAAAAATAATTACAAAAATAAGAATCGAACCGAGTTTTTCTTGCTACCAATCAGCTACCAACTTAAAAGTATATTTACAAAAAGAAACTTTTGAAATCAAACAGAAAAGGAATTAAATAGGATTGAAAGAAGTTGGAATGAATTCCAAAAACGGAATTAAACTTTGCCCACACAACAAAAGGATATACCAGGAATATTCCACCGAATGATGGGATATCCAAGATTTCTATCCCGTGAGTAACCCGTGCTGTATATCCCAAGGATATCTTATACGGGATTTCCCGCAGTATCTGAGACGGGATATCTCGCATTGGATATCTCATACAAACTATCAAAATGAAGTGAGCTTTTTAAATTTTAAAAATTGAAATAATAAAATTATAAAATGCACAATTATAATCATAATATTTTTTATTAAATTCTCTTTCCATCAAATATATAAATATAGCTTTACATTTCAACAAATAATTTACATTAAGTATTTTTGGAAAGACGTTCCGGAAACGTTTACACTGTAAACATCTTGTCAGCTGTATGGAAATCTCAGGAATATGATATCCATGCGATATCCTAAAATATCCCTGGGCTATCTCAGGGATATGGTGGGATGAAAATGGGATATCCCATTCTGTGAGGGTGATTATATCACATTATTATTACACTACCGCGGAAATTGTACGCCGGATGTAAACTGCGCCGGGTCGAACCGAATTTTACCTACTTTTATCAGATGAGTATAATCTAACATGTAAATTGCGCCGTGGTTGTCACTTGCGTCCAGGAGAAATATATAAAGACAGTTAGAATTATTTCTCAAATCGTTATTGCACTGAATTAATTTGTAAATAAACTTAGGGAATCAGTTACTACTACTCTGGCTACGTAGAGAATAATTTCATAGTTGAAAATTAATATTTATTGTTCTAAGTGACATTTTTTTATATTTAAACTATATATGGACTAAATTTTTTTCCTTTTTATTTTATAAAATCTAAAAAAAGTCTGAAAGAAATGACACCTTGACAAATTGAATATATTAATTTTTCAATTAGATATCCAAGAAAAACCAAATTTTCAATGTTTTTACTATTTTTTTGATTTTTCTGGCAAAAATTAATGTTTTTAAATGTTCTTGGGCTTATTGGAATCGTATTTTGTTATACAATTCAAATTATTTACAACAATTTATGTCCACATTCTTCTCTAGCGTATGCAAACTGTGAAAGTTGGCTGAAAAAAGTCAAAAAATTAAAGTTCAATTTTACAACAAAATGTAATGTTTAAAAATCAAGTAAATAGATCATCCTAACTTATCTGATTTGTGTAAGTAAATTTATGATTTACATATTTTACTGATCATTTTTTGTCATTTAAATATTAATAATAATTTTTTGACTTCTTTTGAGACAACTTTCACGGTTTGCATTCGCTCTGAAAGAATGTGGAATGAATGGAAAATTGTTTTAAATAATTTAAATTGTATAACAAAATATGATTTCAATAAGCCCAACAACGTTTAAAAATATTAATTTTTGCCAGAGAAAAAAAATAGTAAAAACATTGAAAATTGTGTTTTTCTTAGATATCTAATTGGAAAATTTACATATTCTCTTTGTCACGGAGTAATTTCTTTCAGACTTTTATTAATTTTTATAAAATAAAAAGGAAGAAATTTTAGTTTTAATATTTTTGCAGATTTAAATCACTTTATAGGAGTGAGTATTATTACGGGATGATTTTTTTCTTAAATTTTTTATATTATGCATAAAATTTTTTTGTTATTTTATGATTAAAAATGTAATTTAAAATGAACCAAAAAAAGAATTTGTAAAATATAACACTTTCAAAATTTAAAAAAGATTTTCAAATTTTTCAGTTGTTATATTTTACATCATAAAAATAAATTATTTGGTTATATTTTGTAGTCGTCGAAAAACCAGAGATCGACCAATTTCTGACGGTAGTGTATATGTCAGTAATACAGAAAATCAGAGTTTTTTACCTTATGGCATTGAAAGGAATAAATAAAATAATAAACCGATTCCACTTTTGGAATTGCAATTTTTTAACTTCACCATTGCGAAATAGAAATAATCAGGATTAAAAATTTACTAAATCTATTCCTCTAACTGGAACACAACTTTCATTTGGAATAGAAAAGATTTAAATTTTTTAAAATTTTATCCAGTTTGAGGGTATTGAAAAAAGAGGAAATTTTCCGAATTAAATAGAATTAAAATACGTACAATTTTATAGAATATAAGATATTTTTTATTATTTTTAATTCCAGGATTTTTACCGGGTTAACCTTATAGAATTAAAGATGCTGACAATTAAGATATAATTACTGTATCTGCTGTATGTACGACTCTTTGTTTTGTCAGAATTTCTTGTTTGCACGGAGAAACTTTAGTTTATAAAATTTGATATTATAATACTAAATTTTACAAAAAGCCAATAGTAAACGAGGATGTAGCGTTACCTTTGTGAAAATTACTATTTAAATATTTTACTGAGTGAGTATTCTTAATTTGGAAAGAGTAATATAATAATTATGGATTTATATTTCTAAACAGAAGGAAATTTTAATAAAAAAAAATAGGAAACTGAAGTTGGTGAATCGTTGAAAACGAGCTTTATAAGTATATTAATAACTGAAAAAGAATTATGAAATTTACAAAAACTATGGTAAATATCCATCCCGTGTGAAAATAAAATTACTACCCACATAGCACGACTTCTTGCTGTGAGGTTACTGTAAGGATATCTGTAGGGTTTGTAAGGTTACCGTGTAAGCCTACAGTAAACTTGAGGTAATCTTAAAACTTCCGCTATTACAGTAAGCTTTCACAGTAAAGCTAAGGTAAGCTTACACAGTACAATAGTGGTAAGTTGACATGGTAAGATTGTGGTGAGCTTACACGGTAAGGTTGTTGTAAGCTTCCCGTAAGGATACTGTAAGGTTGCTGTAAAGTTACTGTAAACATAGAGTAATATGAAAATATATTAAAAATATTTATATTAAAATATATATATTATATTATAAATTTTTTTTATAAAAAATTATATATTTGATAAAGTACTTTATGAACCCCAATAGGGTTTTTTAAATAAAATTTCCTGATCAGCCGTATGTGCCATAGAAAACTACTGCGCATAAATATTAATAAAATTTCTTTATTAATAACATTCTATGTTTACAGTAACCTTACAGCAACCTTACAGTAAACTTACGGGAAGCTTACAACAACCTTACCGTGTAAGCTTACCACAACCTTATCATGTAAACTTACCACGACCTTACTCTGTAAGCTTACCTTACCTTTACTGTGGAAGCTTACTGTATTGGAGGAAGTTTTAAGATG